TTTTTTTTTTTTTTTTAAAGGAAAGGATGTGGAGATTGTCCTTTTAGTGAAGGGAACTTAAGGGGCTGAACATAACTAGGTACAAAAACAGTTATATGACACGCTTTTGGGAAACACCATACAGCTGTTACTTCAGAGGTGCTCATTGAGTATTTCTTATATGACCCTTTGATTTTATGTTGGCAAATGGTTGGGAGTCTCCCACTAAAAAGAAGAAAAAACTGTTTACCAAGCATAGCTATTAATGAATTTTCAGTGCTCATTAAACCATTAGACATTGCTGTTGAGTGTTGTCTAGTTGGATCTGACTCATAGCGACTCTGTATAGGGTTTCCGAGGAGTGGCTGGTGAATTTGAAGTGCCGACCTTGCAGAAACCAACCTTGTGGTCCAATGCATTCTCCCACAGTGCCATACCAGGACTCCAAGTCATTAGATAGTCCAAGGGAATAGTTTTTTCTTACGGTGTTTCATATTGTGTTCTGCTGGTGGTCCTGGTACATATGTAGTATGAGGCTCTTATTAGCTGTTCATATATGTTTTCTGTTTCCCTTTTTTGGTTATTTTTTTATTAGATAGATGATCCTTTTGGAATAAGATGCTAAATGAAATACTAAATAGCAAAAGAACATTGGGTAGGAAATATTATAATTATTAAAAAGAAATCTGCTGGAATTTACAGCTAAAGCTTCCTATTTTGTCTACTCAGCAATATGACTTAAGTATAACTTCAGTAACACATAGGTGTCTGTTTTGCTATATGTATAGCTCAAGATCTTTGTATAGTCTTATGTTAATCAGTATTAACATTCAAAATCAGGACTCTAAAGCATCTTGGTCCATAATTCTATGGCTTTCGGAACTTTAGTCACTGAATGCTTTGTTTTTTAAGTTTTAGTGTTTTCATTTGTAAAATGAGAAAATGGGATTAATGTTTACCCTCAGATTTCTATGAATTCATAGTTTAAATTACTGATTTAATAGTTGATTGCCCACTTGTATCTCAGCATGTAATCCACTTATTACTGAAGAACTAAAAACCTGGGATATATGCATACATAATCTTGTGTGGATCCTTTCCACATTGTAATGTCTTCTACAATCCTGGTTATCCTATCCTCAGATTTAAAAAGACCGTATTCTTTCCTTTCTTGTTTGAGTTTTTCTTTCTTTTTTTTTTTTAAATGACTATGTATTCAACTTTAGGAAGACTTGGCCCTATTCTGTTTGGTTCCTTGTTTGCTGCAATGAACAGCATTTTAACTTAAAAAGCTCTACCAGTTGGCCATTAGGCAGGCTTGTAGAATGTGCCCTTGGGTTGTTTAAATTATTATATATTCCTGAGTGTTTTTGTGTACATTAAAAAAAAAAAAACAACTCTGGAGAGAATAAAAGCAAATACTGTTGAATGATGATGCAAGGAGGGGATTGTAATCACTGTAATAAAATGAAATACGATAGGATGAGAGCAAAACTGAGGTTCTCCAATGTAAACTATCACTCAATTCACAATGAAAGCTTTAAAAAAACAAAAAAACTCTCCCAGTGCAGATGACTGCCTATTTTTTCACATTACTACTTGAAAGCACTTTGTATTCTAAAGTCGTCTTAATTCCTGACAATTAACTTTGGGTTAACTACTGACTAGCATAGAACATTTTCTTGAAAATTACGTAACTGCTATGTTTTGAAACCTGTTTTGATATTTGACTAGTGTTAATGTTGTAACTGATACTTCATATAAAAATGGGTAAATTTTTAGCTTAAATTGAAGTAAATGTTAGCAGCTTCTCTTCTTACTCTGTTTAAATGAGTTAGTAATTCAGTTATTTTAAAGTAGAGTTTGTAGTGTTATTACAGTACAGTTGATATTTATAAAAACAGACCATTGTATGGGTTTTGAGCATCTCTATGGCTGTGTTTTAAAACAGATACGACCACATTCTGAAGTGGGAACTGTTCCAGCTGGCTGATCTGGACACATACCAGGGAATGCTAAAGTTGCTCTTCATGAAAGAACTGGAACAGATTGTTAAAATGTATGAAGCTTACAGACAGGCTCTTCTTACAGAGCTAGAAAACCGCAAGCAGAGAAAACAGTGGTATGTCCAGCAACGAGACAAGAAATTTTAAGTTAATTTTTTTTTTTCAAATAAAAACTTAAGTTTTATAATGGCTTTAAAATATTTTCACAGAAAGTAAAAAAAAAAAACTGCAACAAGAACTCTGTTTAAGAAAGGCAGCTTACTTTTTGGAAATTACAAAGTTTTAATTTTACATATATTTTGTTATTAAAAGTATTATTTTAATGAACAAACAAGTCATTCTAAGAGCCAACAAACACTTTCAAATGCTGTATATTAGGAAACTGCTTTGAATACGTTTTATGGAGACAAATGCAGCAAAATTGTCAATGTAAGCAGGTAATAAGTAGGAAATGGTTAGTTGGTTATCTCTTACATGAGCAGTACCTTTCTTTTTAAGAGAGAGAATCTATGCAGTATGTAAAGTCAGATGTTTTCTACTTTAGTGTTGAGTATTACAATGGGATGGTTCAAATATTACCACAGTGCAGTTGAAAACAAAGTAGGATTGGGGACCTTACTGTGAACATGTTCTGTATTTAATGTATGGGTACCCCTACCCTTTGCCCCAACCCCATAAAAAAAAGTAAAGAAGCATTTTAAAGTATGTTGAGAACATGTATTTTGGTATGAAAGGGTGACAGGCCTATGATGTTTCAGGACTAAATTTAGAACATAAGCCTCAAGCCCATGTGGGAAAGGTGTGTAAGGGGCTCAAAGTTGCTATCTAACTTTCAGCACGGGCTCTTAATGCATTTAGCTTGGCACTGACGAGACAGTCAGTGGAGGGATGCCGACAGCATAGCACACTGCCATTCTGACAGACGGAGTTAAGCTGCCAAAACTGACAATCAGGGATTCAATAAGAAATCTTATTCATGAAACTGATTTTACATTACTTTTCTATCTTCAAAGAGTTTGTCATACAACTTTAAAACCACATTATTTCCCTCCTAATTTTTTTTCCCCTTTTGGTTTAATAGTTGTCCAGATGTTGTTCCTAATTAGTGCAGTACATTTGATTGCAGACAAATTTATACCATTTGTAGTGTAATTAATCTCTAGGATTCAGTGAATTTTAACATTAGTCAGAGTAGCTTTTCAGTTTTATTTACAGGTGATGTAAATATATTTTTAGATTAGGTAATGCTCAGAAATACAAAGCACTCCCATTTACATATCTGTGAGTTTGTATTATTGATAAAATGTTGAAACTGTCAAATGTTTGATTTTTATATAACAAGTGTATTAAATATATTTTTGTGGAAGCTAACTGTGTGGTGTTTGAGTCTGTGCTTTACATACAGTGGTGCAGAAGTTTGATTTTTCTGTGTAGAAGGCCCCTAGGCAAAGGAAGCAATATAATGACAGGGAGGGATATTAAAAATAAAGAAAAAAAATTTAGAGGAATTTTATCAGTGGGAAAAGATACTTTGTGGGCTTGTGACCAACCTTTTCTAAGATACAAGCTTATTGGTTTTTGTTGTTTTTAGGTACCATCTAGTCGGTTCTGACTCTTAGTAACTCAGTGAGTCACAGGGTTTTTCCGAGGCTATAAATATTTACGGAACCAGAAAGCCTCTTCTTTCTTCTTGCTGACCTGTGGGTAGCAATTCAGTGCTTATCCTACAGAGCCAACAGCATTCCTATAAGCATGTATAACTTATGAATAAACTTCTAAACATTCTATCTTAACTATTTTCTATATTATTCCTTAGTTTATATTACCATTTAATTAAGACATAGCCATTTCTAAGAAAGTTAGAAATTACTGTTTTGGACCTCCTAAATAAAACATTTTATTACTTCTTTTTCCATTACTTTTTTTTTTCCCCTCTAAAAGGTCTAATCATTTCATTGTTGTTATGTGCCGTCGAGTCACTTCCGATTCATAGTGACCCTGTATAGGGTTCTGAGGCTTTTTATTCTTTGTGGGAGCAGAAAGCCTCAGATCAGCTGGTAGACTCAAAACAGTGACCTTGTGGTTCGTAGCCCAGTACTTCTCCTAACAGTTCATTACAGATACAATATAGAATCACTGGTTTAACAAAACTGGTAGGTACTTAACGGGATTGACATATGTTCCTTAAATGGAAATTTAAACTTGTGCTGTCAGCATTTAAAAAAATACATTCTGATATTAAAAAGAAAGACAAAAACCTTTATCATTCTATATCAGCACCTCCCAAACATTTCCAAATCAGTAAGCATTTGTTTTTAGGATTCAAAGTAAACTTTAATAACAATTCACATGTTAAAAGAATAAACCTATGAAGAATACATTTTTTATGTATCAAATGAAAAAATATACAATGCAGTGAAACTTAAATACATATACAAAGTGATTTTTGTGCATTTTTTATCAAGAAGTTATAATCTTTATTAAATCATAATGTAAAAGAAGCAATATATAATTTTTGACAAATCAATGAAACACTTTAAAAAATGTATTTTAAAAATAACTAAGAGCTGATGGTATATGTAAGATGAGACAGACTGAATCAACCCTGCTGGGTTTTGATGTGTGCATTAACAAATGACTAAAATAATTTAAAAATTCTTCTGTAGAAATTAAATGAGCATATCCAAACGTGGAGCAATATTACTACATGGTTCAGTTATAACCCAGTAGTAGTAATTAGTGAATTCAAGCAGAACACATGTACTGTTATCATAAATAGACAAATACTTTAAATTATAATAGCGTATTTGAAGACAAAATCAGGAAACTGTACCTCTTAGCAAAATAATATAACCATGCATACATACATCTGCTTATTAAACACTTAAACGTCAACTAAACCATTCTGTTGTCTTCAGAGGTGCTTGATACTTTACTGTGTTCTTATGGAAGTATTCTGAATGGTTGCATGGAGATACAAAACTTATTGTTTAACTGACAACTGGTCATGCACCTGTACTTTTTAAAGTTTGGATTATATCTTCTTTTTTTCTGATTCTTCAGTAGATTCTGACTTTGGTGCCGGAAATGCATGTTGGTATAGATGTCTGTGAGTTGCTGCTGCACTGTAAAGCTTGTATAAAGCCTAGAAGTAAAAGAATCAAGATTATGATACATTTTGTTAAACACATAAATGCATGTTTTCCATTTTAAAAGTAATTGTAGTATATGGTACTGTTTAAAACGTAGCATGCTAAATTTGAAATCTCATTTAAAATCTACATAATCTAAATTAACAGCTAATTTCTTAATTCAACTTTATAATGTATGTGCTACCATTTTTGCAAATTGATCTTAATGGTGCATGTTTTATTCTCAGATGGTTTTCTTTTTTCCCTGCATATTTAGAAAAGAGCTTTCCAACCTGTATGCCCCAGGAGAGTGTTGAGAACTCCTACTGTGAATACTCTCAATTTTAGAGGAATTATAAGCTTATAACTTCTGATTGTCAATAGCTACTGTATTATACATAGTTAGTCCACTTGTTCAGGGCTTACAATAGGTTCTCCAGAGTGGGACCACAGTTACTCTCCATCATTTTCTGATACATTCAAGTAGCTAAACAAGTATACTGCCATTTACCCCACTGTCCTGTGATACCTCACTTAAAACATGCTTCTTTGCTGTTAGTTCATATAAAATCTTAATTCCAAAACATTACCATAGAAATGCTTCCTTCATTAAAATTACCTTTATGATTCTTCTATGCATCCCTTTAGCAGTGTTTAAATTAGGGATTTTTACATCATATATATTGCTGTATACAAGCATCCAGAAACACTTCCATGTTTTTATTTCTCCTCTCACCTGATGTCTCACATAAAAGTTGTCTTTGAATGCTTTTAAAGGCTCAATATCCTTTAAATAATAGACAGCTTCATAGAATTGATCTGTACTATGAGTGCATCCTGGTGAGACATGGTATTGAGCGCTTGTTTGGTACCATAGAGCTAGTTACGACTCAGAGCAGCCCTCCATACACTACAACAAAACACTCTCCAGTCTGTGCCATCCTGTCCTCAGGAGCCTTGCTGTGTTTGAGCCCATTACTGCAGTCACTGTGTCAGCTCATCTTGATAATGACCCTTGTTGAGGGCCTTCCTCTTTTTTGCTAACCCTCTACAAAGCATACCATTCTCTAGGCACTGGTTCCTTCTGATAATATTATACCCAAAGTACATGAGACAAAGTACAGCATTCTAGCTGTACTTCTTCCAAGACAAATTGGTTCATTCTTCTGGAAGTTATGGTGTATTCAATATTCTCCACTAATTTCATAATACAAAGGCATCATTTCTTCAGTTTCCTTATTCATTGTTCAAATCTCAGATGCATATGAGGTGACTAAAATACTATGACAGGTGTACCTTAGTCCTTAAACTGACATACTTGCTTTTTAAACTTTAAAGAGGTCTTTGGTAGCAGATTTGCCCAATGCAATACATTGATTTCTCAACTGCTGCTTCCATGGTCACTGATGCGAGTTAAATGAAATACTTGACAAACATCAGTCTTTCTCCATTTATCATGATGTTTATTGCTCCTGTTGTGAGTTGTTTTCTTTGTATTCAGGTGTAACCTAAAGACTGGACTCTTTGATCATTATCAGTAAGTGCTTCAAGTCCTCTTTGCTTTTAGCAAGCAAGGTTATGTCATTTGCATATACCAGACTATGAGTTTTCCTCCAATCCTGATTGCCATGTTCTTCATATAGTTTAGCTTCTTGGATTATTTGCTCAGCATGCTGATTGAATTGAATGTGTATGGTGAAAGAATACAGCCCTAACATTCACCGCTCCTGATTTTAAACCATGCAGTTTATGCTCGTTCTGATCAAACAACTGCCTTCTGGTCTATGTACAGGCTCTACATGAGCACAACTGGTGTTCTAGAATACTCATCTTTGCAATATTATTCATAATTGGTTACAATACACACATTTGCATACTTTTGAATAACCAATAAACATCTTCCTGGCATTCTCAGCTTTCAGCCACAATATCTCTGACGTCAGTAAGATATCCCTCATTCCATGGACTCGTATGAATCCAGCTTGAATTTCTGGCAGTATTCTGTTGATGGACTGCTACAACCATCTTCGAATTATTTTTAGCAAAATTTACTTGCATGTGATTAATGATTTGTTGTTGTTAAGTGCAGCTGACTTGGTTCTGACTCATAGTAACCTGTATAGGATTTCTGAGAAATAGCTGGTGGATTTGAAATGCTGACCTTGGAGTTCACACCTACTTTTCAGTCCATTGTATTATTCTGCAGTGCTACAACAGGACTCCAAATTTCTGCATTCTGTTGCATCACCTGTTTTTGGAATGGGCACAAGTACAGATTTCTTCTAGTACATGACCCAAGTAACTGTCTTTGAACTTTCTTGTTATAGATGAGTGAGTGCTTCAGTTAGATCCATTTCTTGAATTATCTCAACGTATTCCATTCATTCCTGGAACCTTGTTTTCAGCTTGGAATTCTTCCTTCATTACCACTAACTCTTGATCATATGTTATCTCCCAAAATGACTGAACATCAACCAAATCTTTTTGGGACAGTGAGTGTGTATTCTGTGTATTCCATTTTCTTTCGATGCTTCCTGCATCGTTAATTATTTTACCCATAGAATCCTTCACTATTGCAACTCAAGGCTTGAATTTTTCTTCAGTTTCAGCTTGAGAAATTCTGAGCATGTTCTTCCCCTTTAGTTTTCTAACTCCAGACCTTTGCACATTTCATTATAATACATGACTCTGTCTCCTTGAGCCGTCCTTGACAATTTTTGTTTAGCTTTTACTTCACCATTTCTTTCATTTGCTTTAGCTGCTCTACCAAAGAGCAAAATTCAGAGTCTCTTCTGGCATTTGGTCTTTGTTCCTGTCTTTTTAATGACTTTTTGCTTTTTTCATGTGTGAAGTTCTTGATGTTATCTTACACTAGTTTGGTAGTTGGTCATTAGTGCATCAACTCTACTCTTAAGAAGGTCTCTAAATTCAGGTGGGATATATAGTGTATTTTGAGTTTTGTGGACTTGTTTTCATTTTCTTTAGCTTCATCTTCTACTTCAACTTGCATGTTAGCATGTGGCACTGGGAACTTGTGAGTCTGAAAACTGGGTTTGAACCACAAGGCTAGCGGTTCAAACTCACCAGCTGCTCCTTGGAAATCCTATACAGGGTCTCTATGAGTCAGAATACACCCAACAGCACTTAACAACTAACAAACAGTCTTTCCCTGGCCATGTTCTGACTGATGATATTTTACCTTTTCTATAGTCTTTCTCCACAGAGGTAGGAGATTTGATTCCTTTCATTTATGTTGCTGAAAAAAAGGTTATTTGCAATAAATAAGTCATTGGTCTTACAAAGTTCCATCATGTGGTCTCTGGCATTGTTTTGATCACTAAAGATATATTTTTTAACTGCTGATCTGTTTCCAACTATTGTGTTCCAATCAGCAGTAATTATCAATGCATTTTGACTGCATGTTTGATCAGTTTCAGTCTGCAGAAGTTTGTAAACATCTTCAGTTTATACATCTTTGGTTTTAATGACTGGTATGTAAATTTGACTAAGTCATGTTATCTGCTCTTCCTTATGTGAGCATGGATCTTATCCTATCACTGACAGCATTGTACTTCAGGACAGATTTCAAAATGTTATCTTTGGTGATGAATGCAGTGCCCTTCCTCTTCAATTTGCCATTTCACATTGTCTGATCAAAATGGTGATACCAGTCCATTTCAGATCACTAATACCTAGAATATCAATCTTTATGCATGCCTTTCCATTTTTGCCAATTCCCAGTTTTTCTAAATTTATACTTCATATATCTCACATTCCAATGATTAACAGATGTTTGTAGCTGTTTCTTTTTATTTCCTCATCAGCAAATGAAAGTCCACAATGATTTTACTCTGTCCACAACATTAATAAGATCACATGTACTTGGAGGAGACAACTCTTCTCCAACCATATTTTGAGTGCCTTCAAAGGGACTTCCAGCATTGTATCAGACAGTGTTCTGCTACTATTTATAAGGTTATCACTGGCCAATTCTTTTAAAAAAGATTTCCAGGTCTTTCTTCCTAGTCTGTCTTAGTCTGGAAGCTCTGCTGAAGCCTTATCACTATGGGTGACCATGCTGGTATTTGGAAAACCAGGAACATAGCTTCCAGTCTCACAGCAACATGCAAACCATCACAGTACAACAAACCGGTGACAGACGTGTAGTAGGACACTGTCCTAGATCTACTGTAGTCAGCTTAATACCTGTTTAAAGTTTAGATTTTGTCCTCAAGGTTTGATTTATATAGTCTAACATATCTGAATTTTACATTAAGTAACTCTTTATTGACTTATAAATGTTAAATGCTCACAGGTATTTAAGTAGAGGACATGATCCAGTAACATGGGAGATTAGAAACTGAGGCAAGAATTATGTGCTGTCTCTGTAGTTGTTCTACATCAGCTTTGCTTCTTGGAGATAATGACTCCACAAGATCCTCCTTTTTAATATAAAAGTGATTTCTTCACTTAGGCTCACATTCTTTCCTCAGATGCACTGTTCTGTATATATGTAGTAGGAGAAATGAGCACTGATTCACAGGCCAGGTCTGAGGTATGCCATAAATGCATACTGCCTAGATCCTGCTTAAAGTGGTAACTAGGTAACTCAGTCACCTGTCACTAAAAACAACTTCCAAAGCTTATGTCGTTAGCTGTTGTTGAGTCACCCCTGATTCAGTGGCCCCATGCACAACAGGATCAGACCATTCTGATCCACAGGGTTTTCACTGTCTGAATTTTGGAAGTAGATTGCCAAGCCTTTCTTCTTAGTCTGGAAGTTCTGCTGAAATCTATCCAGCATCATAGCAGCACACAGCCTCCACTGACAGGTGAGTAACAACTGGAAGACTGACTGGGAATTGAAACAAGGTCTCTCATGAAAGGTGAAGGCTCTGCCACTGAACCGCGACAGCTCTCTCAAAAGTTGATTGCATCACTTAAATGTACCCAGTAGTCAAGTTGCCTCAAGGTTCATAACTGTACTTGCTTAACTCAGTAGAAAAACACTAGGCACGAAGCCAGAACATTGGATTTTTGAAATTTTCTACATATTCAAGAAAGCAGGACATTAATTCTTGTGTTTCATGTGGAGATAAAATCATATATGGTATAAGGAATAAAATATTCTTTAAATGTTAAAAATTCACAATTACATTTTTGGAAGAATATAGAAATAATGGTCACTAAAGGTTTTCTAATCTACATTAAGACATCACTTAACAGCTACTTAATTTGTAAAATAATATAAAATTTACAAATACAGAACTCTTAATAATAATAATAATAAACTTACCTCATTTGTACTTCCCTGTGGCAAAGGCAGTTTAAAAAGGAGAAAGAGAATGTAGATATCTTGCTTCGTTAATAGCATTACAATATGCAAACTTTGTGTACAACATTGTTTTGTGGGTATTTAACAAAAATCTTTCTACAAATTTTTCAGATTAGATTACAAATTTTTTGAGTTTCCTGAGGTACCTAATTCTATATTTGTCATAGTTGCAGCAGCTTATTCAAGGAGAATTTGGGGATTTACCTCAAATAGCTCCACCTCCACCTCTTGAGAGCTATTTAAGACAATAATTCAGAACTTTGAGTTTCTATTTCACTATTTTCCCATAGTGCCACCAACTAGGCTCTTCAAAGGCACAAGGTAAATATATCTATTATGTATGATATTTATAATTCGACACCTACTTCTCACCCATTATCTCATTACCCAACATTCTGTAAAACTTTGAAAACTTCTCAGGCAGGGCCTCTCATATCCAGCCACCATTTGGGTCATGGCCAAACACAGGGTTATCTTCTGTGGACTACCCCAAATTATATACCAGAAGCCCTGGCGATGACTGTGCCACCCAAGGACAACAACCCACTGGTCACAGGATGCCTTCTCCAGTTCATCTATGGTGTCTGGGTCTGGCCATGGTGGGTGCGGGGCTCTAGCAGGACAATGTAAAGTTGTGGACAGGCGGAAGACTGAGTGAGGCCTGAAGATGCCAAGGATATCAATGGGGAGAGACAGGCTAGGGGAGCAAAAGGGGGTCACAGAGGGCATGAGGTCAGGGTAAATGGAGGATGAGTGGGGTCCCTGGCCAAGGCAGGTGCTGGAAGGCTGTGGACAGCACCCAAACTCTAACACCAGCACCTCTAAACCCCATGGGATCTACAGGGGTGGGCAAGGGGACCTCTCCAGGCCATGAAATTCATGAGATGTACCAGATGTGGTATGGCCCCTGACTTCAAATAACAACCTGGTGTTTAGAATTTCAAATAACAATTTCAAATAACAACCTGGTGTTTAGAATCTAACCATTTCTGGTAGGTGAGGAGTGGAGGTATCATAAAGAATATATTTAAATATTCCGTTTTGTTTTTGAAAAAGAGGGTGTTTTTAATTTTGGAAACTTTCAAATCTATAGAAAAATTGTATGAAAAGAACAATAAGCACCAATATAAAATAATCTAGATTCACCAACTGCTCGTGTTTTGCACAATGGTATACTTGCTTGCCCTTCTCTCCCTCATTGACAGGCAGTTGATTCCAGTTCATAACAACCTGAAGGACAGAGTCAACTTCCCCAGAGGGTCTCTAAGGCTGCAGATCTTTATGGAAGTAGACTCCCACAGCTTGCTCCCACTTGAGTATTCACTTCATGTGAGGAATTACAGCTATTATTTGCTACCTGCAGACCATAAAATTTCACAAGTCTTACCTCCGTAATTGTATTCAGGATTTCAATTTAGCTCCTTTAAATTCCCCTAAGTTTTCATGAGATACCTGAAGATACTTCCATAATGACACAATGAGTTGGTCACTGTTATATGTATGTCTATATCTATCTCCCCTCCATGTTACTGGGAAATGAAACATGACATTCTTGGCTCCTTAATATGGCTAATTAAACCAAAAGGGACACCTGAGCCACCCATGAGGTGGACCATTGGTTCATTCAAAAGTCTTGCTTTGATAGAAATAAACTGAAGTAATCTAACAATTTTATGAGTTTATACTAAAAGAATGACCTATGATAGTATTTCATATACCCTAACAAAGCCAATTTTAGTCAAGTAGATAGGTTGACCATATGAAGTACTGCTAACATAATCAGCTAAATGAAAATGCATCTTAACTGTCTTCTCATTTATTTGAGCAGCTTTAGTACTTTTAGGATAAGAAAAAGTAAAAACACTACTTAAACCATATATTTTAAAAAAAATATTAAAATGTTAACTGGAAAACAGTTGTGTGGAACATAACATACATGAGGACAGAACAAAAAGTACTGCCACAAAATCATAGAAACTTTTATTAAACAAAACTACCAAAATGTGAATCTATTATTGTAGCCTCCATCTAGGTCTATACACAAGTGTTAATGGAATGTGGTATAAAAACCAGTTGCCATAAAAATAGTCGCCATAAGCTACTGAACTTTCTATCTTGAATTTAACAGGTCTAACAGATCCCTTTGGAAGCCATTGTTTTGAGTGGACCTCTTTTTGGAAAGCAGCCTAATGAGATTAAAAACTTTTCTGTAGCAAACCATTGATTACAGAGACATGTTTAAGCACATTTTGTTAGAATAAACTCATACATGTATGAACTAGAACCCCAGCAGCAATACTTTTTGACTTACCCTCATACTTGCATTTTGCCATCTTGGTAGACTACAAATTCTTGAAGATTAGGACTTTAGTCACGATCATCTGTATATTCCCAACATCTAACTCAGTACCTGATAGGTGGCACTCATATGTGTGATCAACTGAGTTAAAGAGAATGAAAAGTATTCTTACCTGGTCCCACAAGGCTGCAGCCACCTGGTCTATTACTGCTCCCAGCTCGCGGTATTCTCCAGAGTACCGGATGTATGCCCATGTGCATAGCGTGATAAGGGTCAGTCCCATTATCATATTGCATAGGCTAGCTATGATGTCCAAACCAATGAATCCAGTCACACCAGCAATCACATACGTGATAAAGATGACAACAAACAGTGTGGCTGGAGTACGAGCTGCATGGAAGATATTTTTGCTATCATTGTGCTTGATATACTGGATGTATAGTTCATCTATTTCACTTTCCAACTGCTGTAGGTAACGTCGGCTAAATTCTTCCCCACCCATCTTCTTCACCCCTCGGAATAACTTCACAGATTCTTCTTTAAGCTCTAGATGTTTGGTTTGCAGGTCACTAGGAGCCAGAAATGGTTTGTCGCCACCACAAATCTGTGTCAGATACAGAAGTATTTTTAATGTGATGTAGAGAAAAATTAGCAAATGTATCAAAAATCTTCACTTAGCTAGTTGAATTTTTTGTTGTTGTTAGGCGCTGTCGAGTCAGTTCTGACTTAGAGTGACCTATCGCACAACAGAACAAAACACTGCACCCTGAACCATTCTCACAATTGTTAAGTTTGAGCCCACAGTTGCTACCACTGTGTCAATTCATCTTGTTGACCCTCTATACTTTACCAAGCATGATGTCCTTCTCCAGACACCAGTTCTTCCTGACAACATGTTCACAGCACAAGAGATGAAATCTCGCCATCCTTACTTCTAAGGTGTATTCTGGCTATACTTCCACAACAGATTTGTTTGAGGAAGATAAAGATATTTGATACTGAGAACACATGCAGATGGCTACAGTTCAACAAACTAGACTTTTGCCTATGAATGCAGTGACTCAAAATTCCAACTGGAATGAAAGGATTCTTCATATCAAGGGACACCGTTGTTTCCTCAGTGTACTGGGTTGATGTTGTTGTTGTTGTTGTTGTTGTTGTTGTTATGTACCGTGGAGTCAGTTCTGACTCATAGTGACCCTGCACAGGGTTTCTGAGGCTGCAAATCTTTACGGGAGCAGAAAGCCTCATCTTTCTCCCACAGAACAGCTGGTAGTTTTGAACTGCCGACCGATTGATAGGGACTAGAAATTTAGACACAGACTATCAAAAATGGGGAGCTACAAAGGCATGAAGTGGATGGCTTACAAGCTTTCATGAGTGTGCTTAATTACAGAATGAAGGGGATAAAAAAGAGAGACAAAATAGATTCACTTATTTGATCTTCTCCTCTACGCTACCAGAGACTCCACGGCACATAACAACAACAATTTGATCTTCTCGCAGTTCGTGGTACTTTCAGTATTTTCCAACACCATAATTCAAATGCATTGCTTCTTTTCAGGTCTTCGTTATTCATTGCCCAGCTTTCAAGTACAACAAAACCTACATATTTGTTTCGTTATACAACAAAATCTGAAGATTTGTTTTGTTGGCCTACATCTTTCCACTCTCCATCTCTACAAGGAGTGACTAAGTGGGATTGATATTTTATAGATGATTAATTTACATATATATTTTTTAATTCTGTCATCGAGTCAACTTTGACTCACAGCAACTCTGTACATGGTTTCTGAATCTAGAAATATTTATGAGAATGGAACAGAAAACCTCATCTTTCTCCTGCAAAGTGGCTGCTGGGTTTGAACTGCTGATCTTGTGGTTAGCAGTCCAGTGCCAGCCAGCCTCCTTAACTTACATGAAGTCACTCTTAACTTGTATTCTCTTTTTGACATGGGAAATAACATCCATGCCTTAATCCAACTCTCTAAAATGTAAATTGCGAGTACAGTATCTCTGTAGGGTAAGCACTGGACTACAAATCACATGATCAACGGGTCAAGCCCACTAGCAGAAAGATGAGGTTTTCTGCTCCCACAGACTCAAAACCTAGGAAACCATATACAGAGTCTCTGAGTGGGAAGGAACCAACTTGAGTATCCTTAATAACAACAGCAACATGATGAAAAGGCCTAATACACATTAAAGTGCAAACTGAGTTCATTCCCAGAATAAATCCAACTTCAAGAAAACGACTTATATTCAGATTCCTCTAGGAAAACTGTTTTAGCTACACTGTTGTTAAATGCTGTCGAGTCATTTCCACCTCATAGCAACCCTATATAGGAGCGACTGTTGCATTTGAACCATTGACCTTGCAGTTCAAACCAGCTTGCAGGCCAGTGCTTGTCCTACAGTGCCACACCAGGACTCCTCTAGCAACATACACAGAAGTGATTTTGATCAACAAAGCTTAGTTTAGAACTATAAGCTCTCAAAGTAAACTTGTGAAATATATTTTCCTGGGCTGTTTCACTGGTTTTTGTTTGAATATAGCCCATTGAGTAGTTTCTTCTAGACATCAGGTGGAAGCATATTAAATGTTTTAGCTCTACATTTTCCTTTTTAAAAAAAGTTACAAGGGAACTTTATTAACCATACCTTTTACTTTGGTTATATGATTATAGGTATATTTTTTTACTTCCAACATGGTTACTGCTCCAATGTAAATTGGTTCTGACATAAGTCAAATTTGTCTTTTGTTTTTCAGTTTTCATTATCTCTGTCTTTGATTATCAGTATTATTATAAATCAGATCTTTATTTTTCTTGAGGGTTGGAAACATTACATCTGAGAATGATAAACCAGCAAATTGTATGTGGCAACACTATGTAGTGCGTATTACTGACACTGTTGTTAAGTGCCATCGGGTCACTTCTGACTCAGCAATCCTGTATAGGGTTTCTGAGGAGCAGCTGGTGAGTTTGAACAGCTGACCTTGCAGTTCAAACTGACCTTGAGGTCGAGTGCTTATCCTATAGTGTCACTCCAGGACTCCATATTACGGATAAGATACATAAAAAAACAAGAGTCACAAATGTGGTTGGTCATAACTTAAATACACCATAAGTCAGTGACTACCTGCATCTAGAGTATAGTCTCTGAATGCCCTTGGCTTGTGTTGTAAACACCATTTCATATATTTCCTTTCATACTCAGAGGTAACAATTTTACATTTACTTTTGATATGATAATATTTTCATGGAAAAATTGTGATAAAAAAACTTCTATCATACTACACAACTGGTTGTAAGGTGTAGACCATAAGGCAGCATCCTAATTTGGAATGCTAAAATGGAAATGTATAGAAATATTAGCCCATGAGGTTGTTTTGGGTTTTTTCTCCCTAAAATGAAAACCCTAGCATTGTGATGGGAGGATATATTATAAATAAGAACAATTCATTTAAAATACCTTTAAAGTTGTGCATACAACATTTTTTTGGAAAAAATATTTTAGGAATACAATATATAGCAATGTATAGACTGCCTGAAGAACAAACAAATATGTCTTGAAAGAAGTGCAGAATGAAAGCTACTTAGAAGCGAGGATAGTGAGACTTTGTCTCATGTACTTGGAGAGACCAGTCTCAGAAGAAGATCATGCTTGGTAAAGTAGAAGGTCAGTGAAAAAGAGGAAGCCCTTCAATGAGATGACCTGGTACAGTGTCTGCAACAGTGGGCTCATGCAAAGCAATGCTTGTGAGGATGGAGCAACACCAGGTAGTACTGTTGTACACAGGGTCGCTATGAGTTGGAATCGACTTGATGGCACCTAACAATACACATAAGGCTAAGGAAGGAGAATAAGGCAGAGTCACCTTGCGTATAGTGTGAGTTGGGAAAATAAAAGAATAAATTCATAAGAAATACTGATTTTAGTTGAAACATTATTTAAAATATTTCATTCTTACCTCTTCCATTTTTTTATTGTATGTATCCTTGGCAGTTGCCACGGCTGCTAAATTGTTTGCTTCTGCTGTGGCCTTTGGACAAAGTACAAAATAGGATGTAAAAGAGAGTTCAGGTTTATTTCAGAACATTGTGTACAAGAAATGTGCAAGAAACCAAAGTCATCAAATAATTTGAAACTGTTTAAAGTATTTCCACATTTTAAAACTATTAATAAACTGAAAACTTAAAATACATAAATCATAGAACTTTATTTAATAAGCCATAATTCTTAATGAATTCTTATTTGTAAGACGTTTTAACTTTAAAAAAAATGTTTAAGCTTCTCACTAATTGCAAAAAATGTTAATAATAATATACAAACCCAAAACATGGGCGATAATATATAGTAGCTTTACATAAATTATGTATGTATATGTGTTTATGTCTTAAGTTTAAGTGCTACAGTTGACAGAACAATATGTCACTGATGACAAAAACAACCTTAAAGACACTTAAAAAGTATGTACCGAAAAAAGTTAGGTTTTCCTTTTTTTAATGTTAAAAGTGGAGATCACTTGTTTTAAACCTGGACCTCCTTTTTCTATTGGTTGCTCTCTTTATGAACTTAAATTACAGTATAAGTCTGCTTTATAAACAATTACAAAGAGAATGAAAACACTCTGGTTTAAAGGATTCATATTTCAACACAAGTGACGTTGTTATAGGTGCTTGTGAAAACACAGAAAATGGGTAAATAAAAAAATTACCTCCCAATAATTCATTCTGCCCTATATTTATATACAGTAATATCTCAGAATACAAGCACAAAAACTTAGCTTTAGTGATAAATATGTTTAAAAATGTTATGCCTCCTGATTAATAAATACCTGTAACATGGATTTGGGATGTGGTAATTCTTCACCTTGATAGATCTTTATATAAGCCTTAAAAAAAAAAAAGATTCATATTCAAACAATTTTATTCAATATTTCTCAAATTCTATTAAATTATATTCTAAGGGCTTAAAAATTCAGTAAATATTCTAAGGAACCTATAATAATTTTTTTCTCTCTCAGTTAAATTCCCTTCTTTCTTTGTGTTGCTGCTCCCTTTTCCTGAAATGCCTTTTTGACACATCTCCACTTGCCAAACCTACCCATCTTAAAAGTTCAACTCATTGCAACCTTCTTTAAAACTATTTCAGATTCCTCTTCTGAGAGTAACCTTCCTCTTTCAGTTGCTGACAGGAATTTGTCCCTGTGGATGTCATAAGCTTTAAAGAACAGATCTGTATAAAGAGCTTTCACAACAGTATGAATAAAAAGAACAGACTTTTATATGAATAAGTAAAATGCCATTTTTTGCTGTGAGTGATGAAGATAAGTAGACCACATAGGAGGTGTATTTTGATATTTTAAATAACAATTTATGAGTTTTAAAAACTGACAAGTTATTCTTTGAATCAGTGACCCACAAATTAAGTTGGTAACTGAAATTCTCCATTATATATGTAGGCTGGTAAAAGTGTATTAGGTCTTAACATGGTTTTCCATTTGAGGTAAACTGATAATTCTACTTCAAACTGACCCTTGGTTCAGAAAACAGAAACATGAAAATGTTTTCTCTAGGAGGAAGTCAAAGTACACAATCCCTTTGGGAAAATGTTCAGAGTGAAGGTAAACATTGAGTATAGGTCACGACTACGGGAGTTATGGTGTGGCGCTGTGGGTTAATGCGCCAGACTGCAAAGCCTTTTGAACTGTAAGGTCGACAGTTCAAGCTCACCAGCTGCTCCTCGGAAACCCTACACAGGAAACCCTATACAGGGTCACTATGGGTTGGAACTGACTCGACAGCATTAACAACAACAGTAACAACCTATGGTATACTGGGAAAACCTAGGACAGGGGGTGTTTCCAACTCAGATATATTTATCTTTCAAAATATATTTCTCACAAGATAAAAAGGGGCAGTAAAGTTACCTCTAAGAAGTTTCCTCAAAAAGTAATTTCTTTAAAAAAAAAAAATCATATTTGAGACTCCTTATATCTGTGTCCCCTATATTCCAGAGTCCACATTTTTTTGGTTTCATGTAGGAACTTCACTTCAATACTTGTCAATCTAATCACAAATGCTCTAGAAACAAGAATAATACCTTGAAGTACTCCACCAGACCTCGGCAGGTGATTTTATTCCCATTGATCTCTTTAATATCTAGGCTCTCAGGACTAAGTAGCCAAGGAATCAGTATTTTCAAGTTTTTGATGAATTCATCATCTATTTCTACAAGTAAAAGCAAATCCATCATTATTTTTAAAATCCTATCCAGTCTTCCATGCCATAGAACAACACACCCTTTGATTTCCTCCATTTTCTCCACCGACAATACATTCACTCATTTCCTTTCATTTAAACAACTGAACTGCACTCTTTGCAGGGTGAATGTTTGTGCCCAAATTCCCACTGCTGCTCTCTCTTACTTCCACATTCATAAAATAGCTTCCTTGTTATTAATTGTTGTTTATTTTATGAACCATTCATATAGCCATTTCATGTATTCTAATGTCTTTAAATCTTGTTTGTGGCACTGCAGGATAATGCACTGGATCACAACGTAGGTTTGAACTGCAAGGTCGGTGGTTCACACCCACCAACCACTCCTCAGAAACCCTATACAGAGTCACTATGAATCAAAGTCAATTCAGCAGTATATATTTGTTGTTGCTTAGTGTCGCTGATTCCAACTCATAGCAACCCTATATAAGGTTTCCAAAGAGCGCTGGTGGGTTTGAACCAGCAGCTATTCAGTTAGCAGTCTTATCCTACAACAAACACTGAGGTGCCATAAACTAAGTGAAGTGCCTTATCCAGAGAAGCAGTGACACTAGAGATGGTGGCAGAGATAGAGACATGGAGAGAGGGAGCAGCTGAGGAGTCTGGATTCAATGGAATAGAGGGATTGAGATCTGGAGGCCAGGAGGCAGACTTGCAGAATGTGCCCTTTGGTGACATAAATTATTATATACGCCTGAGTGTTGAAAAAACAACAACAACAACAAAAGCTAAACTGAATAGAGAGAAATACTGTTAATGGATGGTACATGGAGGGGATTAAAATCATTGTAATGAAACAAAGTATATGATTTGTTGAATGTACAACTGATGATCTGCCCTGTAAATAATTTACAACAAAAAGTTAAAAAGAGAAAAGATTAATAAAATTGAAGTGGCTGACTTACAAGCTTTCAGGTGGGAGTTTAGTTTCAGAGCGAGTGGGGTCAGGTAAAATCCCCAGTCAATACTTTCCATCTTGTCTAGACGGGTCAGGTGAAAGGAAATGGAGATAGGATTCTTTTGATATAATAGTGAATAAAGGTTATGATGACTAATGTTAATTGTCATATTTGTAAAGCTAGAAGATGTGTAACAAAAAGGTGGGAGTAGTTAATCTTTCATCCCAGGAACAGAGGATCCTAGAACCAGCAAGAGGGAAGAGCATGAACAGAACGTGGGACCCTAACAAGAGAAGCAGCGACAGCAGAGACCGAGGCAGAGATGATGACACGGAGACATAGAGCATCTGAGGACTCTAGATTCATGGAAAGAGAAAGGCAGTGTGCTGATGGGCAGGGGGATGGTTTGCAAAATGTGTCCTTTGGTTGTTTAAACGATTATATATTCCTATGTGTTTCTGTGTATATCAAAAGATGGCGATTATAATCATTACAATGAAACAAGACTGGATGAGTGCAAAACTTATGTTTTGCCATGGAGACTATCACTCAATTCACAATAAAAGCGTTTTTTTTTGTTTTGTTTTTTAAAAAAAGTGATACTTAACCTACAGTTATGTACCGTTGGGCAAGAACAATGATATGTACATCCTCCAAGACCATATATACATTGGAAAAGAAGTCAAGCTATTGTTGAATCATCTATGACTATGCCATCCTTAAAAGGACTTTTCATATAGAAAACATCTGAGTTTTTTTCAGGATGATCAAATAAATGGTTTGCCTAACTGGGTGGTATTTATCTTAAATTATATGGAAAAGTGATTATCAGCAGAAAAATTTGCTGATGAACTCAAAACTCAAGTTGATCATTAGATATAATAATTTTTAAAATCTGTTTTAGGAAATCTCATTAGCTTCCAGAGTGGTGATCAAGTAAGTTTGTCATAATAGATGAAGTAGTCTTGAGAACTACTCAAGACACTGTAAATCAAAAACCTGTTGTCAAGTTGATTATGACCCATAGCAATGCTAAAGGACAGAGTAGAACTGCCCTAGAAGGTTTCTGTGGCTGCCAATTTTTATGTAAGTAGACGGCCTCATTTTGCTTCTGTGGAGCGGATGCTGATTCACACCACCAACTTTTCAGTGAACAACTTAACACTTAACTCACTGTGCCACCAGGCATAGTACCGAATCAGAATGATACTTGAATACCCAGAATTGACTTACATTGGACAATAAACTAGTGAAGTCTGCCCAAGAAGACAAATTATTATAATGAAATGTGCAAAGAGAAACTAAAAGGGAAGACCACACTCAGCATTCCCCAAGCTGAAAGGTCTGAAATAAAAATTCAAGTCTTGACTTGTACTACTGAAAGATTCTATGGGAAAAATATTGAATGATGCAGGAAACATTAAAAGAAGATGGAAAGAATACATAGTGTCACTGTACCAAAGACAACTGGTCAATGCTCAACCATTTCAAAAGGTACCATATAATCAAGAACCAGTGATACTGAAGGAAAAAGTCCAAGCTGCACTGAAGGCACTGGCAAAAAACAAGGCTCATCTATGTCAAGAAATGTGGAGGATAGCTACCTAGCCAACTAATTGAAGAGAGCCAATTCCAAAAGAGGTGACTCAACAGAATCCAGAAATTGTCAAACACTATCATTAATATCACATGCCAGTAAAATTTTGCTGAAGATGATTAAAATATGGTTACAGCAGTACACTGACAAGGAGCTCCCAGAAATTCAAGCAGAGTCAGAAGAGAACGTGGAATGAGGAATATCATTGCTGATAGCAAACAGATAGTAGATGAAAGCAGAGAATATGAGAAAGATGTTTTATTGACTATGCAAAGGCTTTTGACTATGTCGATCATGACAAACTATAGATAATTTTGCAAAGAATGGGCATTCCAGAACATTTAATTATGCTCCTGAGGAGCCTATACATAGACCAACAGTCAGTCATTTCAACAGACAGGAGATACTGAATGGTTTTAAATCAAGAAAGATGTGCATCAATATTTACTCAATCTGTATGCTGAGCAAATAATTCGAGAAGTAGATTATATGAAGAAAAATTTGGCATCAGGATTGGAGGAAGAATCATCAACAACCTACAATATGCAGATGACACAACCTTGCTTGCTGGAAAATAAGAGGACTTAAAGTACTTGCTGATGAAGATCAAAGACTACAGCCTTCAGTATGAATTACACCTCAATGTAAAGAAAGTGAAAATCCTTACAACTGGACCCAAAACAACATCATGATAAATTGAAAAAAGACTGAAGTTATCAAATATTTCATTTTACTGGGATCTACAATCAACACTCATAAAAGTAGCAGTCAAGAATTTAAATGACATACTATATTGGGCAAATTTGATGCAAAAAAATTTTTTTTAAGTATTAAAGAGCAAAGATATCACTTTGAGGACTAAGATGCACCTGACCCAAACCATGGTATTTTAAACTACCTCACATGCATGCTAAAGTTGGATAATGAATAAAGAAGACCGGAGAAGATTCAATGCATTTGAATTATGATGTTGGCAAAGAATATTGTAGGTACTATGACTGTTAGACACAATAAATCAGTTTGGGAAGCAGTATAGCTGGATTGCTCCTTGAAAGTGATGATTGCGAGACTTCGTCTGTCATACTTTGGACATGTCACGAAGGACCAGTCCCTGCAGAAGAACATCATGCTTGGTAAAATGGAGGATCAGCAAAAACAGAGGAAGGCCTTCAGTGTGATGGATTGAAACATGGCAACAACAATGGCTCAAACATAACAATTGTGAAGATGTTACAAGATCGGGCAGTGCTTTGCTCTTGTTCATAGCATTGCCCTGAGTTGGAACCAATCCAATGGCATCTAACAACAACAGTGGAGCCTATGTCAACAAGCAAGGAAAATGAGTGAAAAGGCTGTCTTGATTATAAGACCATAATGATCTCTCAGAATCACTTCAGGCATGAACTTGATGGCAAAAATCTCCTCCAAATTCATCAAAAGAATTTGCATAATCTCTGTTGCTGGTTATTTGCAACACATCTAAAGACATTATGGTTTTGTAACACATCTAAAGACATTATGGTAAATCTGAATTTATTCCAAGAATTAATGGAATTGAAGGAAGTAGCCTAGAGTAAACCATCATTATTTTGCTTTATCACACTCAAGCAACTGAATAGATTTAAATGATAACATGTTAAAGATGCTCTTAGACATCCTGAACTATATTTTGGGTATGAGGGACACATAAGATATATTTTGTAAAAAATATCATTTGACATATTACTTTTGTTAAATAATAAGAGCTGAGAACTATCTCGGCTGTTTTCATTTAAATTTAGAAGTGGAACTGTAATGTAAACTAACTTTGGCCCACCGCAAGTTTTCAATAAATACGTGTGGTAGATGATTATCCAGGATGTCTTCTGTTTTCATCTTTTCTGCAATGATTTGTGCCACAAGAGTAAAACCATGCCAGAAATTCAGGAGTTAGGCCAAAGTTATCTGTCACAATTATTGGGAACATGATACATGCTTTATAAGATTTCTACAGGACAAAGGCACTAGTATAGCTTTGCTATGTAAATTAGCCGAGAAAGCTATTTTCTCTGGATTACCTGATTCTGACCCATCATTGGAAACATCTTTTGAAAGGAATCACTTTGCTATGGCATTTGGTTATGCTTTCTGAAGTCTAACTGGAGCTACCAAGAAAGCAGCACCACAGTTCACCATGTAGTAATTCCACATAATGTATTATTACAAAAAGCAATTTGTCAAAAAAAAAAAAAAAGAGAACTCTTGGTGAATTAAAAAATGGTATTTTCTAGGCTAAAAGATGCATTCTGAGTAGGCACTCAATAGCAACTAGCTAAGTGTAGCCCAAATAAATGTGATTGAGTACTTTTGATCTTTTTAATTTCATGTGTATTCTTTTTTAAATTTATTATTTCATATGTATACAGAAAGCTATTAAATTAATACCAATGAAAGCTAACCATAGGATAAGATAT